TTCACAGGGAGAGTGTGTGTGTGTCCTGCCACCAACGAACTATTTATCTCCTTAGCGCCTCCAAATTAAGTCTGCAACCTCACTGACAGGCTAAATTCCATCCCTTCACTCTTAATAGTCTCAAGTTGACACTCAATTATTTAACTACCACAGACCACCATTTATCACCTTCCCACTTTCACACAACTCATTAGTCATATGTAATTTTCAAACAAACAACAATAAAATCATATCTGTATCTAACAGGTTAAAACTAAAATGCATACAATTAAAATATATGTCACCCTTATTTAAATATAACATTCTATAAGTGAACAAAACAAAAAATATTCTACACTTATGTGAACACCTACACCATAATCCTACGAACACATTCCCCCAGCTATGAAAGTTTGTAAGCCAGCCACTTCATGCCTTTACCAACCCCATTCTGGGTATCCGATTTCTATACTGCCCACTTACATCAACCCAGTGCTCTCAGGAAACTATCATTATTTGATGAGAAGAATCTTCATTCTAGTTGGAACCTTGTGAAGTCCGCATCCATAATCAAAGTCAGATCCGAACAGGCCATCCATAAAGTCAGCAACAATATGCACCAGTTCACAGGCTCAAAAATCTCTTCATCTGGTTGGGTTCTAGTTATCTCAATGTGGGCTGCCTCACTTAGCTTCACCATGGTTTCCATTGCTCACCTTGGGCTAGGTCATGAACTTCAGATCAGTCCACCCACTCTCGTCTTCTAATCTCTCCTCTAATCCCTGTGAACCAGGTCCACGGGTGTCAGTGACCAGACTCAACCCATCTCTTTATTGCTGCATTTCTCCCACTTCCACTCAGCAAGTGACTCCAGGTGCTCACCTAGCAAGCATTTCAGCCTGCCCACAGGGTCCCTTTAACGTTCAGTCCTAGAGAGGCATTTTCTTCATGGTTCCAGAATTTTTCCAGCATCTGACAAAAACCACTATTTCAAAATTCAGAAATCCAGAGTTCCTTTTTTTCTTTAATCTGCCAACAGCCTTATAGGCACGCCTCTTCACCCTTGACTGTCCTGAGCACTCAAGACACTGGCCGCGGCTTAAATTTTCAGAGCCTTTGCAGGTGTTTCCTAAACCCATTTAAAGATTCCAATTTTAATGGCTGAAGGCGAGGTTTACAAACTCTTTATTTTCATAAATCCCAATAATCATTTCTGATTATTTATTTTCATAAATCCCAATAATAAATCATTAATGCAACAATAAGAAGAAATCATTATACACAAAGTAGAATCAGATCCTAAACTCAATTGTTAAAACAGTCAAGTTCAATCCTATCTAATTTATTTTAATCCTTATCTAAACTATTCCATTGATACAAAATATGGCCTTAGGTCTGACTGCATCAAGCCAGGGTGGGGCCTTCTACCAGCCATTTTTTACTGAGTAGCATGGTCTCTTAGAAATCCAAGGGGTGATTTCTATCCCTGAGCTCAAAATATAGAGTAACAATATTAATTTTTGCCATTTCAAATAGGAATAACCAGACAACAACCAAACAAAAGAATCAAAACTATAACTTTCCATATTCTTTCCATAAAATAACCAAGTAAACTCTGCATGGCCATGTCTGACCTCCAACTAGCCAAAGAAGAAAGACTTCCATAAGGCAGGGGTCAAACAATCATCCACTCTCTATCTTTATGATTTGTTTCTCTAGTACCCCACTCCTAGTACCATAGTGCGTTAGTCCAGGAAGACTAGAAAAACAAATCCAGGGAGACTCATATGTGTATAAAAAAGAGCTTTATATAAAGAATAATCGTATATTAACTGAACATCCCAGCCCAGTCCAGGTTGTCTATAATCCGGTATTAGCCCATATGTCTGTTACCAGTCTATAAATTTTTCCTCAGACTCATGCAGCACATGCAATGATGCCAAATGTAGGAAGAAAGATCACAGGCCACTGGGTCGAAAGTCTTGTGGATCCAGTGGTGGTGGCAGCCTCTCAGCGCTGGGTCTCCACGTGGCTCCTCAAGCCCCAGGGCTCTGGCTCCATCAGTGTAGCACATCTGGCTTGTCAGCAGGAAAGCGAAGCAGAGAGAGGGTGTGTTCTCTGTTCTCCAGTGAGCTATTTATCTCCTTCATGCCTCCAAATGAGGTCATCAAGCTGTGACCTGATTCACAGGCTAGACCCCACCCCTTTGCAAGTTGACAGGAGATTATGTAACTACCATAACACACATTGGTACAGATAAGAGATTTTGACACATGGAATTCAGGACAGATAAAGCCCTCAGGAAAAGTAATGGGAGTAGCGATATCATGAGGGTAGGGAGATGGGGAGTGGGGAACAGGGGGTGGTGGTAAAGGAAGTGAAAGGTGGAACCCATCACAAGGTTGGATACATAGGCCATCCCCCAGGGGAATGAATAACAAATGTGGGTAAAGGGAGACAACAGACAGTGTAAGACATGAAATAACAGTAATAATATATAATTGATCAAGGATTCACGAGGGTAGGAGGGTGGGGGAGGGAAGGAAAAATGAAGAGAAGATACCCAGGGCTAAAGTAGCAAGCAAATGTTTTAGAAATGTTGATGGCAACATACATACCCGTGTGCTTAATACAATTGAATAATGGATTGTTGTAAGATTTGTAAGAGCCCACACTAAAATGCTTAATAAAAAATTTTTAAAAGAACAAATTTTATCAAACATCTTGATCTAGACACTACTTCATAGAATAAAAGAAAAGAAAAAGTCATGCCCCAGCACAAAACATTTCTGTAACAGAAAAAATTGAAGGAAACGATTAATTTTTGACAAGCCTACTGTTTATTTTTTTATTTAGAACATACATTAATAGTAGTAACAAATATAGTAAACATGCCAATGATATATTATAAATAATAATCCAATGAAAAGGGACACCTATTAAAAAAAACTTTTATTCATCAGAGCAGGCCAGAGAAATAGTAATTTAGTTTTAAACTCAATAAACATGCAGTTGTTCATATAGTGTTCCTTATGTGTCTAAAACATCCAGAAGCTCTCATTTATAAGCTCAATATAGCCATGCAAATAACTGCCAAGAATTAAAAGGACACTTAGGGATAAACACTGTGGAAGTAGAACAAGTGGGGGGGCAGGGATCAGGGGGAGTGTGGTCATGAAGGACATGCCACTTAGTACTCTGATGTTGGACTCTGAGTGGCTAATCCTTCCACAGCATGAGGTAAGTGATGTACTCACCGTATTTTGTTTTTCTTGTTGTTTCTGTTTTCTATCCTGATTTTTTTTTAAGGGTGATTTTTGGGCACAGCACAAAATAAGAATAACTGTCACCCTTTCACGATTTATGTAACTGATTCCATTGCTTTTGACAGTTCTATTGCATTTCCTGAAGAAAGATGTCCCCTTACTTCCTGGGCAGTGGAGTGGGGGAGCCATAAGCCTACCTTCCCCGCTCCTCTCCCAGCCATGTGAGCGACATGCACACGTGACCCTGTCTGTGCTCTGCACTTCCCAGTCAGTTCCCAGAGTTGTGTATCCAACTGCAGTGACAGCAGGCAGGGAGCTTGTTGAAATGGGAGTGTTGGGAATGGTGAGAATGTTTGAAACCCGATGGGAGACACATGGCTGGAGGAACTGAGGAAAATTAGTTCATAAGGATTGATCATAAAACAATGCCTCGTGGATCCCAGACAATTCTCTAAACGCTCGACATCAATGAACTCACCTCTTTCTTACAGCATGCTTGGGAGACACGTTTGTTTTATCATGATCTCCATTTTGCAGATGGAGATTTGAAGCCACGGGGATGTAAATGTTCTGAGGTCACATAACAGAGGCAGGATTTAGAACAGAAGTGTACCTTGACCATCATGCTCTTTCCCTCCGAACAAGGGAAGACACAGTGAGATGATGCTAGGGACCATGAAAAAGGGGTAGGTCAGCAGGTGCAAGGGAAGACACAGTGAGACGATGCTAGGGACCATGGAAAAGGGGAAGGACAGCAGGCCAGAAAAGAGTGTGTGTTGGGTGGCCCCATGGGGCTCAGAGTAGAACTGGCTTCATGGGGTTTTCAAGGGAGCCTTTCTTTTTCCCCAGACTATTCTGAATGGACTTGTACTTCCAACCTTTGGGCTACCAGCCGACCGCATGACCTGCAGCACGAAGGTGCTTTGCCAGGCCGCGGGATGGAAACGAAAGGGAAACAGTCTGGCATCCTGTGAGCACATGGCATCTTGCGAGAAGTTCTGGAGTCAGAGCCCACTGTTCACTTGTGGTCACACCTTATTTAGAGAACCGATTTTCAATGACGTGACAACAGTGGTTTGGTTCGGTGGCTTTCAGATTTTTATGAGTCTGAGTTAAGCACTATTTTTCCATAGTCACCAGGATTCTTTATTTGGGGGAGTTAGTAAGTGGTGTGGGTGCGTGGGTGGGGGGAGTAGATTAGAAATAATGAGCTGTTAAGCAGTTTCTTTGTCAAATGTTATTGGCATTAACTTTTGACCAGAAGTATAAAGCGAATTCCCAGGTGCAAAAAGGGTTGCATACTGAATGATTACCACAAGGTTGGTGGTTCAAGCCTACTGACAGGGGCCTGAAAGCAAGGCCTGGCCATCAGCTCCTTGGAATTAACTTGATGGCTGCTGGGTTGGTCCTTTTGGTTATATCTTGACTCTAAAACCTCAGAACCGGTTTACAACAAAGCCGCAAAGTTGGCCCATTAAAAATTAGATTGCATGGTGATGTTTCCAAGTACAGATAACGGGGTGGGGAAACTTCAAAATCTTCATGGGAAAAAAATTCCATGATATTTTCCTGCAGTTTTTCCATGAGCCATGGGAAGCCTCATCATAGGTGGTGCAGGACTAGAAGCACGCCTTGATGCTCACTCACTGTTTAAAAAGCCCCAAACCCCACTGCTAGAAGAGGCACCGGAGGGTAGCCTGCTGCCTTTATTCTCTCTCACTGGCTTTCCTATCATGTCGTTTGTCTTTACTGCAGGCAATTCTTATGCAAGAAGCTAAACGTCATTAAATGTGCAGGATGAAAAGATGGCACAGGCTCTGCTGGTACCCCCGGGACCTGACAGCTTCCGCCTTTTTACCAGAGAGTCTCTTGCTGCTATCGAGCAACGTGCTGCAGAAGAGAAAGCCAAGAAACCCAAAAAAGAGCAAGAAACCGATGATGAGAACAAACCAAAGCCAAATAGTGACTTGGAAGCTGGAAAGAACCTTCCGTTTATTTATGGAGACATTCCTCCAGGGATGGTGTCGGAACCGCTGGAGGACCTGGACCCATACTATATCAATAAGAAAGTGAGTGTTTCATACTTCCCCTTGCTCTTTTTTAAAGGATTCATTTAATGAAATTTTCTGGAACTTATACATACTGCACTGTAGTTATTCTCCGATGATAGGCTTCTACCAGAGACTTTATTTCTACTTGTGAAGCACAATGTAATCAGCAGAAGCATTATAAGGAATGATGTAAATGGTTAGCTAAGTGAAGAGACAGGAAGTGATGAATAATTCCAAGCTTTACAGGAATTGAGATGGTTAACATTAAAACCGACAAGAATAAAGCAAAACATCTGCTATTGTTGAAAAAATAACCTTTTAGCGCATGTTAGATCATTGGATCCTAGGGAGGCAAAAAAGAGTCATGGACAGACATTATGTTTCTGGGATTTGAGTTCAACTTTTGGCTCGAGTTTCTTCCACAACCGATCTGTCTTTTGTTGCTGCTGTTATACCTTGTTGAACAGACACACAGCAACCCTCTCCTGCATACAAGTGATGAAAACGCTGGCCAAGCCTGCAACATTCTCACGATTTTATATCTGAGACCATTGTTACAGCCTGTGGATCCATCTTGTTCAAGTCCTCCTCTTTCTCGCCGACACTCTGCCTTATCAAACAGAATGTCTTTCTCCAGAGGCGGATCTCTCCTGATAGTATGGGCACCTGAGGCCAAGTGTCTCCATCCGCTCTTCTAAGGAGTATTCTGGCTCTTTCCTCCAAGACAGAGTTGTTTGTTCTTCTGGCAGCCCATGGTGCTTTCCAAATTCTTTGCCAACACCATGATCCAAATGTATCGATTCTTCTCTGGTCATCGTTATTTATCCCCCTGCTTTCACTCGCCAGGAGGCAATTGAAAATCCTATGACTAGGGTCAGCTGCATCTTAGTTCTCAAAAGGACCTCTTGCGCTCCAACATTTCAGCAGATAACTCAATTTGCTCATGCAGTACGTCATCTGGTTTCTTGTCTGCTGCTTCCACGAGTAGTGATTATGCATCCAATTATAGTAGAATCCTTGACAACTTCAATCTTTTCTCGGCTTATCATGATGTTGTCTATCTGGTTGGTTTTTAATCATTTTATTAGAGGCTCATACAACTATTATCACAATCCATACACACATCAATTGTGTAAAGCGCATTTGTACATTCATTGCCCTCATCATTCTCA